ATCCTAGAAGTCTAGATCACAGTGTCGGTGTCACCAGGGCCATGCTCACTGTGAAGGAGTTAGGGGAGGATCTGTTCCAGGCCTCTCTCCCTGCTGCTGGTAGTTCCTGGCTTGTGACAGTATAATCGTAATAGTATTCTCTGTGCTTATTTAGGTCCAAATTTCCCCTTTTCATAAGGACACCAGTCACATTGGGTTAGGGGCCCACTCTACTTCAGCGTGATCTCATCTAAACTACATCTACAATGATCCTATTTCCAAACAAAGTCACATTATGTGGACTGGGGGTTAAGACTTCAAGGAGAGGCTTTGGGTATTTGAAAAGCTATCTTCTTCATTGATGCTATATTAAAGTTATCTGCATATTAAAGCCAGAAAGAAATCTTAACCCCTAGAACTGCCGTTCTACAAACATGAGATTAACTTTGTCCCAGGCACTGTTTTAGATACTGGGACACAGTGTTAAACTAGATGGATAGTCTGGATAGGTTCATTATGTTCCGCAATCCCCAAATCTCAGCAGTTTAAGAAAACAAAGTTTATTCCTCACTCACACAAAGTTGGCTCTGCCTCTAGGCAGCTGCCCTCCATTTGATAGCTAAGCATGGTGCTTCCATATTAACATGTGTTTTCTTATGCTGACCACCATATCAGAGGCAGAAAGTGTTGGGTTCTTGTACTAGTGATTACATACGTTTGCCCAGAAGTGACATATCAAGGATGTTCTCATTTCATTGGCTAATGCAAGCCTTATGTCCATGCTTAACCGTGGAATGAAGTCTTAACCATTTACACTTAGTGAGAATGCCAAGTACTTTGAAACATTATACACAGAATTTTTTTTGAGGAGAAAAGGGACCTAAGTAACTTGCCCAAGGTCCCTCAGATAGTAAATAGTAGAGGCAATACTGAAATCCAGTCAACTGACTTTGAGACTAGGGGTTTTCCCACTATTGTTTCTTGGTCTTCTCAATCATCATTAATGTATACTTAATCCATCAAACTGATTTACTTAGTCATGCCTCTTTTGTTAAACTTTGTTGTTTCTAATGTTTAGCTCTTTGTTGTCTTTGGGCATAACTTTTTTCCTTGGGATTATTTTCTAAGAATAATTTTTCAGGGGTGGATTACAAGGTCACAGAATACAGACATTTTTGTTCCTCTTTGTGTTCTGCAAGTTTTTTTAATTTTTTTTTCCTTTTTTGCCAGTTTTCAATGCAGCATATAACCTTATTTCCATGGGTCTGGATATCATACAGAGATGACTATATTACCATGGTCAAATTACTCTAACCTATTTGAGCATAAGATTTTCCATCTGTAAATGGTGATACCATCATCACAGAGTTGAAGGAAGGCAGGTGAAGGACTCAGCCCAGTGCCAGGGTCATAGTCGGTGCTCAGTGAAGGCCATTTGTTCGCAATTGTAATCTCAACAACGCTGAGTGTGCTTAATGCATTTTTTTTTTCAGGAATCTGAAACACTGGCACAGTTGTGTAAAACGTCTGAATGAGAATTTAGATTGGAAATTCAAAATTCATTTTTATCATCACTGAGCCCAAGCCTACATGTGCTGCAGCTGTAATGACAATTATGTCCTCTGGGATCCGCACATAGGCTCTGCAAGGGCTTAAATTGTGCTTTTGCACTGAATGTTCTAAGCTTTCCCTATTGCTTTCCGGGAGTGTAGGCAGAAGGGTATTTGCGTTTACATTGACGAGAGTTCTAAGCAAAGAGTGGACAAGTATTTATTGAAGAGTTATAAACTTGAGTTAATTGTCACATAGTTCATTGCTTCCTCTGTTAGTCTTTGGGATCTTTCTCCTAGTTATTACAAAACGTTTAACAGAAAATATTCACCAAGAGTAAGATTAAGCAACAAAAATCACAAGATTATGTGGCAATCTGACCTTAAAAAGAAGTCCGAGAGCAATTTGGCAATTTCTATCAAAATTTTAAATTCACATTTACCCTTTGAGTCAGCAATTTTGCTCTAAGAATTCATTCTGGTCAAATAAGAATAGTCAACCAAACACACAGTATATGGCAGCTCTGTTTATATAGCGAAACCTGGAAAAATATCTAACTGTCCAATCAAGGAATGGCTCAATATATTATCTGGACCATGTAACAGTTAAAGAATGAAATCACTGCATGGGCTGATAGGGAAAAGAAGTTCAAAATATGTATGAAAAGAGAAAGCGGTAATGCTCCACAGCAGCCAACGATGGCTTGTGGTCCAAATCCAGCCTGCTGTCTGATAATAAAATTTTATTGGGACACAGCTACACCCATTCATTTACAAATTGCTGTGGCTGCCTTCAAGCTATGATGGAGTTTAATAGTTAGAACAGGGACCATACAGTTCCGCAAAACAGAAAATATTTACTTTCTGACCCTTTACTAAAAACATTTGCCAATCCCTGCTCCACCCATGATTCTATTTGTGTTTTTTACAAAAGCAGCATTGGGTATAGACAATTTCTGGAAACAAAAACCATAGATAATGATTATCTTGGGGGGGGGATGGGAATATAGTGTGGAAGAAGTGGGGTCCAGGGAGTTTCTCTCCTCTTTATATGCGTCTATGCTCTGAATTATTTTTCTAAAAGCCTGTATAACTTAATTAAAAATTTTTTTTTAAAGAAAATCAAGTAGAACACCAATGGATGGTGCTCAGAACAGCTTGTGGTAGATGGTTCCTGGCTCAAGGCAGCCTCTCTTCCAGTGGTCCCTGAACCTGAGAGATATCTGTTAAAAAAAAAAAAAAAAAAAGTATATATATCAGACCTGAATTGGAACTGGGAGGGGCTGGGCTCTGCAAACTAATTTTTAGCCAGTTCCCCTAGGTGATTCTAACAATGATGTTTGAAACCACTACCCTAGTAATAAATCTCAGAGATTGGCAAAAGATTTCTCAGGGGGTTGTAATGTAATCAGCATGAGATAATCCAGTGAACCGCAGCAACAATAATAGCTCCCGTTTGTGAGCATGTCCCAAATGTCAGGTCCTGTGCTACAGGCTTTATGTACTTCATCTTGTTTAATTCTCCTGCAACACTGAGCCAGGGAGGCTCAGTGACTTGCCTGAAGTCTCTGAGTGTCCTGTCACCATGCACTGTGTGAGGGGCTGGGAACGTGGGAGAAAGACACCATCCTAGCTCCACTGCCCTCCCTGCAGTGAAAAGTTAGTCTCTTTCACCTGGCCAGCTGCATAATGCTGGTTGCACTTCGTGAGGTGTCTCAGAGACTAACCAGCTGGGTCACCTGCCGCACATAATGTAACTTTATGCAACTCTTGCAAAATGAGGGGCTTGACCTGGGTTCCCTGGAAGGCCTGTTCCAGCTGACACCTATGCCTCCAGCTTAAAGTAGCCATCACTCTCTGCATAGTGTGGCATTGCTGTCTCTCCTCTCAGCTCATTAAAATACATCATAAGCATGGAACTTGGATCCCTAAATAGCCTGTCAGCTCCTCACAGGCAGAGACTATGCCACTGTAGTTTTTATACTCTATTGTTCAGCACAGCACTGAGTCTATAGTAAGTGTTCAGTAAATACCTCTGACTTCTTCTCGAGTGGCTTTACAGTCAGAAATATAACCATAGCGTGCTCAAGGTGACAGAGCCAGCAGCTGCTGACTGCCTGCTTCCACAAAGAAGAGCTGAGTGTACATTAGTGTAGAATGATGTGTGGCTTTCAACACAGAGGCTCCAGAACTCCATGGGAACACAGCCTGTGCCAAGGAATATGAAAGCTACAGGGTAGACACTGTGCAAAGCCCTGGGCCTTCAATTTTACTAGAGAGTGAAATAATCACAAACTTATTTATAGGTTAAAAAACGTAGGCATGTTAATGGTTTTGAGTGCTAGTTTTCCAATCAATTTTAGAGAAACATTCTATTCCAGGGCAATTTGCTATTTGTGGCTTCTGTCTTAGGGCTATGCCACCAGATCCCTGGAGTCAAAGTTGATCCTCTTTTGGTTTTGAAGTAAATTCAGAGGCAAAGTGTGCAAGAAATAGCTTTGTGCTGGGAGTCATGAGACTTGAGTTCTGGCTCCAGCTTGGTGTGACATCAGCAGAACTTTTCACCTTTCTGGGACTGTTTCCTTGTTTTGTATTATAAGGTAGTGGTCTCCTACCTTGAGCATATATTTTAAAGTGGAAGATGTCATGTCTCTATGATTCTGATATAGTCCAGTCGAGCAGGGATGAGGTAGAAAATAATCCTCTCTGAGGGGGACAAAATGGTGGTTAGGGGAATAATATAAGGTTTAATCCATATTTGCATGATTCTGAACTTGCAGACCACAAAGAATGGTCATGACCATTTGCTGTGTCAGGGTATGTTCATAGCTTTTCTTGGAAGATGTGGCATGGCAAGTTGGAACCTGAGGTACAACCTCACTAAGATGGTGTGCTGTGGTTGGATTTCACTTTTTCTCCCCATTTCCTGCCAGGGTGGTAGTTTGCAGTGACAGAAAGTTAAAGGTTGTGGTTGGAAGTCACAGGAATGAGATCTGAGGGTTGAGGAAGGAGGACACTTTTGGATACCCTGTGTATGCTTGGGCTTTATCCTCAGTTGCAAAATTCTTAGGAAAGGAATCTACCAGAAGGATTTGAGTGGGGGGAGAGTAACCAGGAGAACTGAGCTCCCTTCTTTATGAACAAATACTCTTTCCTAAGGAACAACAGAGGGAAGCAGAAGGTCATGGAGATTACCAAGAGAGATGGATCTGTTTCCCTTTTACTTCAAAGCTTGACATGAGTGCTATATGCCAGCACTGAAGTCCTAGGGATCCTGCCAGGAAGAAGACAGTGAACTTCTCTTATACATGATTTTCTGTATTTGTGTGCAAGCAATACATCCAAACGATAGATCTCAACAAATAATAGATAAGCCTTTTATCTTTTCTGTTGGGGAGGTGCTAACGGCGGTATAATAGTCAGGGAGAGAGGATTCCATAAATAGTATTTATTTTAGAAAAATCTGAAAAAAAAAACAAATAAATATAGTGATGGTTTAATGTACTTCTAAACAGTGGAACATACATATACATAAATACATATACATCCACATATATACATATATGCTAGCCAATCTTCATTATTTCTCATTATTTGCAGATTCCAAATTTTTGTATTTGCCTACTTTAAAATTTATTTGTAACCTCAAACTCAATACTTGTGGTACTTTCATGGTCATTTACAGCTATGCATAGAGAGGCGAAAAATTTGAGTTACCTGATGTGCACATTCCCAGTGGAAGTCAAACAAGAGGATGCTCTGCCTTCTTGTTTCAGGGCTCATACCGTAATTAAGTATCCTACTGTGGTCAACTTAGTGCCATGTTTTTTGCATTTGTGTGCTTTTTGTTGATTTCACTGTTTAAAATAGCCCCGAGTATAGTGGAGTGCTCAGTGCTGTTCAGTGTTTCTAAGCAAAGGCTGTGATGTGTCTTAGGGAGAAAATATATGTGTTAGATAAGCTTTGTTCAGGCATGAATTATACTGCTGTTGGCTATGAGTTCAATGTCAATAAATTAACAAACTATATTAAATAAGATATCTTTAAGCAGAAACACACATAAAACAAGGTTATGTATTGATCAGTAGATGAAAAGGTTGTAAACAGAAAATTGCAAGAATTGTATTTCCCCAGGGAGCAATGGTTCAGTATATGCTACTTCAGTGTTTGGGGTGATTTTATAGAACATAACTACTGTGAAAATTGAGAATTGGCTGTACATAGATACACCTCTGTGTGTGTGTGTGTGTGTGTGTACGCACACGCGCGCGCACACACACACACAAAATTGGGAAGTTGATTTACACCTTTGTAACTTGCTATTTGAACCTAACCTAATGTAAACTTTTCTCCATTTATAAAAACATTCAACACTATATAAACTGACTCAAACAATTACATAAAAATATATAATAGTACACTTACTAATCACCTATGACTTGCCTTTTGGTTTACTTTCAGTTTCTTCTGATTTTAAATAATGCTACAATGAACATCTTCATAAATAAATCTCAGAAAACATCTCTGATTTTTGTTCTGAAGATAAATTCTTAGAACTACAGGGTCTATGAGTATGCAGATTTACAAATATTTTGACATGTGCTCAATTGCCCTCCAGAAAGGTCTTTTTAGTCTGCCCTCTTGCCAGCTGCTTATGTAAGTGCCTCAAATCTCAGGGTTCTGAACATAATAAAAAAATCTCAGTTTATTAAATGTACTTTCTCATTCCTTCTAGTAATGTCTAATTAACCCTCAAAAGAATGCTCTAACCTTGTGTTTCTCAAACGTCAGTGTGCATCAGAATCACCTCGAGGGCTTGTTAAAAATGAATTGCTGGACCCAATCCCAGAGATTTCATGCATTAGGGGTGGAACTTGAAAATATGTATTTCTAGCAAATTTGCAGGTGATGCTAGTCCGTAGACTGTACTTGGAGAGCACCGCACCAGGGAGACTTAACTTTTCCTATGGACTTACTCTGTACTGTGAATTGTGCTAAGTGATCTGTCTTACTTTGCACTCTACATTTTGCTTCCTGTGACTTATCACTAGCAGAATGTGGACTTTATAGGCTTGCTTATATCTAATAAGCATGTGTTACAAATTTACCTTATACTGGCACAAGGTGACAGAATACCACAATTTCACATTTTTTTGCCTTCAAGTTTACTGGCAAGGAGAAGCATTAAAAATTATTACAGACATGGAGAAACTGGACCCCCTCATACACTGCTGGTGGGAATGTAAAATGGTGCAGCCACTTTGGAAAACAGTTAGGCAGTTCTTTAAAAGCTACAAACATAGAATTACCAAATCACTCAGAAATTTCACTCCTAGGTATATACCCAGAAGATGTGTCCACTCAAAAATCTGTACACAAATGTTCATAGCGGCATTATTCCTAATAGCCAAAAAGTAAATACCTCAGATGTTTACCAACTGATGAATGGATAAATAAAATGTGAAATATTATTCAGCCACGAAAAGGAATAAAGTACTGATACACACTACAACATGGATGAACCTAAAAAACATTATGCTAAGTGAAAGAAGCCAGACACAAAATGCCAAATATTGTATGATTCCATTGACAGGAAAGTCTAGAATAGACAAATCCATAGAGACAGAAAGTAGATTAGTAGTTGCCAGAAGCTGGGAAAGGATGGCAAATAATGCTAATAGGTATGGGGTTTCTTTTGGGGATAGAGAACATTTTCCAAAATTGGGCTGATGATTGCTCAACTCTGTGAATACTAAAAACCACTGAATTATATACTTTAAATGCTATGTGAATTATATCTCATTAAAGCCATTACCAAATAAACAAAAATCATTGTAAACCAACATTGGAGATGCTATAATAGTAGAAAAGAAGCAGAGGGACAATATGGGGAGGGGCCACCCAGGAAAGGCTGACCAGGGGTTTTGCTTGACCTGGGTCTTGGAGCAGCAAGGTGCAGAAGAGAGAGCAGTGTTGCAGACGGAGGGAATAGCCCATGCAAGTATAGACACAGGAAGGATCCCAAGGCTGAAGAAGATGTTGATAAAACTAAAATTAAAGAATCATAAAATCCATTTCTTCATGCACTCAGGCAGTTACTGAACAAACTTCATGGGGGCACCTACTATATGCCAGGGATTGTGCTAGCCACCAGAGACACTATAATGAGTTAGATATTATTCTTATCCATTTTCTGCATATTAACATTTTAAAAGTTACCCAACGTTACAGAGCAAGTAACTGGAAAAAGTGAGATTTAAACCCAGCCCATCTGACTCCAGAGCACATTTTCAAAGAACGTTATAAGATTATGCAGCCCCGTAAATAGCCATAATTTAACATAAATGCATAAATATCACACATATATTTCCCCTGCCTCTCTCCTCTCTCCTCTCTCTCTCTCTCTCTCATCTCACTCTCTCTTTCAATCTTTTTCTTTTTCTAGCTTTGGAATAACACTAACATTGTATAAGTTTGAGGTATACAAAATGTTGACGTGATAACATGTATTGTAAAATGATTGCCACCATAACATTAGCTAACAACTCTACCAATGTCATGTCACATAATCACCCTTCCTTTTTTTTATGGTGAGAACATTTAAGATCTACTCTCTTAGCAACTTTCAAGTATATAATATAGTATTATTAACTATAATCACCATGCTTTATATTAGGTCCCCAGACTTATTCATCTTATAACTGGAAGTTTGTACCCTTTGACCAATTATCTCCTTATTTACCTCCAACCCCTTGCCCCTGGTAACCACCACTCTGCTGTTTCTAAGAGTTGGGCTTTTTTAGGTTACCTATACAGTAGTCCCCTTATGTATCCCCCTTATCCATGGGGGATATATTCCAAGTACCCCAGTGAATGCCCGAAACTGCAGATAATACCAAACCCTGTACATACTAAGTTTTTTCCTATACGTATATATCTATATAATGTTTAATTTATAAGTTAGGCACAGTAAAAGATTAACAACAACAATAAAACAATTATAACAATATCCTGTAAAAAGTTAAGTGAATGCACTCTCTCTCCTATCTTATTATACTGAATTCACCTTTGTTCTTGTGATGTGAGATGATAAAATGCCAAACCTATTTCTGAATCTGTGTAACCATCCCCTATTTGCAAAAACAGGCTTGGTGTCACTTGTTTCAGGGGATCCCTTGCTGAAGTCTTCACAGAGGCTCAATGCTTTCTGGTACAACACATTACCACCAACAGAAAACACATTTTCTGTTCATTTTTTTCCCCATCCCCCAATGTGTTTTCCACCTTAAGCACTTTTCACACACTGTGGCCGTAACTTTTGCAGTTTGAGAATTCTTTCTTTGTCATTGATTTTTGATAATTTTAATACGATGTGTCTTGGAGAAAGCTTTTTTGGGTTGAGATAATTGGGTGTTCTGTTGACTTCTTGAATTCCAAGCTCCAACTCATTCCTTAGATTTGGGAAATTCTCAACTATTTGTCTGAAAATGCTTTCTAGTCCCTACTCCTCTTCCAACCCTTCGAGAATGCCCATTGTTCTTATGTTTCCTCTCCTGATGGTATCAGCTAGTTCTTGCATTTCTCTTTCATTATTTTTCATTCTTCGGTTTCTCTCTTCTTTCTTCTGATTTTCAGATTTCTGTCTTCAATATCACTCTTCATCTCTAGAAGTTCTATTTGGTTCTTTTTAAGGGTTTCAATCTCTTTGCTAAATAAATCATTCTGCTCATTTAGTTATTTTTTCAATTCCTGAAATTGTTGATATGACTTGTTTTGGATCTTATTTAGGTTTTTCAGAAGTACCATCCTGAATTCTCTGTCATTTAAGTCACATATTTCTATGTCTTTAGGCTTATTTTCTGGAGATTTTTCTTTCTTTCTGAGCTGCCTTGTCATCTTGGTTGTTCATGGTGTTTAATGGACTATCTCTCTGCCTGGGCATCGATGGAAGTGTATTGCTTTTTTTTTTTTTTTTCCCAGAAAGATTTATTATATAAAAAAAGTCTCTCTTTAGTCTGTTACAAATAATGCATTTTTCTTTTGGTTTCCAATAGGTGGCATCTAAGCCTCTTGGATCCCTACTTTATATAATGTCTTAGAAATGCCCCTTTTCTCCTTCTAGATGTTTAATCACGCTCACTACCCTCGGCTTCAGTCTCTGTCAGTGTTAGCAACAGTTTCAGCAGCGTTTGCTCAGATTCCCCTGGGGCTCCACAGCGTTGGGTCACGGAGGGAATGGGGGGAGGGGCCCTCTGGGTTGGGAGTTGGGGGCTGTGGCTCAGCCTGGATTTTGCAACCGGAGCTGATAAAAATCAACTTGTATCTCTGTGGTCCCTGCTGCCCCTGCTTCTATGCTTTCCACCCTGATGCCTGGGCACTGCCCCTGGCCACGTGGAGCTCACAGCTCTCCCAGGCAGGGCTGTTCAGGGAACCTACTGCACCTTCTCTCCTCCCCTCTCCTCCTACAGGGAGCTCCAGCTGCGAGGCGGCTTGTTTCTCCCAGTCTACAGACCAACTCCCAAGGTTCTGACCTGTGGTAGCTCTCATGTACAGATCCCATGCTCAGATGTGCCAGTGTGCAGTTTGGGTGTTTTTTGTTGAGTTTTAGATGGTCAGTTTATTGTTGTTTCAAGGGGAGAGATCTGGGGACGTCTCTCACTCCACCATGTTTCTGATGTCCAACTTTTGCAGTTTGAGATGCAACAGCAAGACTAGCACAAATTTTTTTCCTTCTTCACAATTTCATCAATAGAAGATTCATTCTTACTGCAGATCTTAACAACCTCAACATATGATTTTAATTCCTTAAGTCAAGAACTTTAACTTTTTCATGTAAAGGAAGCACTTTACACCTTATCTTTGGCATATCTGAATTGCCAGCATCTCTATTCTTCTGCTTTGGGGCCTTCATTAAGTAAAATAAATGTTACTCAAACACAAGCACTGTGATACCATGACAGTATACCTGACAACCTAGTCAGCTACTAAGTGTCTAAAAGGCAGGTAACATATACAGTATGGAGACACTGGACAAAGGGATTTGTGTCCTGGCAAGACAGAGCAGGGTGGTGCAATTTCATTATGCTACTCAGAATGGTGTGCAATATAAAACTGCGTATAAAAGGGGCACTACTGTATAAATGTTACAGTATTTATCTTTCTCTGTCTAGCTTATTTCACTTAGTGTAATGTCTTCCACGTTCATCCATGTTGTGGCAAATGGCAGGATTTCCTTTTTCTCATGGCTGAAAAATATTTCATTGTACATACATACCACATTTTCTTTATCCATTCATCACTGATAGACATTTAGGTTGTTTCCATATCTTGGCTATTGAAAATAATGCTACAATGAATATGGGAGTACAGATATCTCTGACTTATGCTGTTTCATTTCCTTTGGATATACCCCTAAGTGCAATTGCTGGATCATATGGAAGCTCTATTTTATTTTTTGACACTCCTATACTGTCTTCCATAGTTGCTGTACCAATTTACATTCCCACCAAAACTGCACAAGGTTCCCTTTTCTCCCCATCCACACCAACACTTGTCTTTTTGATGATAGCCATTCTAACAGGTGTGAGGTAACATCTCACTGTGGTTTTGGGTTGCATTTCCTTGATGACTAGTGATTGAGCATCTTTTCATGTACCTGTTGGCCATTTGTATGTCTTCTTTGGAAAAATGTCTACTTAGTTCCTCTGCCCATTTTTCAGTCGGATATATTTTTTTGCTATTTAGTTATATGAGTTCTTTATATATTTTGGATATTATATATATATAATTTACAATTTTTTCTTCCATTCTATAGATTGTCTCTTAATGTTGATTATCTTTTGAGACAGTCCCATTTATTAATTTGCTTTTGTTGCTTATGATTTTGGTGTCATATCCAAAAAACCGTTAAGACCAATTTTGAAGAGCTTTCTTCCCCCATGTTTTCTTCTAGGAGTTTTACAGCTTTAGTTCTTATGTTTAAGACTCTAACCCATTTCAAGTTAATTTTTATGAGTAAACAGGAGTCCAATTTCATTCTTTTTCATGTGGTTATTTGATTTTCCCAACACCATTTATTGAAGAGACTATCATTTTCCCATTTTCTTGGCTCTCCTGTCAAATATTACTTGACCATATATGTGAGGGTTTATTACTAGGCTCCAGGACTTACACCAGCAGCTTCCCAGTTCTCAGGCCTTTGGACTCGGACTGAATTATATCACTGACATTCCTGGGTCTCCAGCTTGCAGACAGATCATGGGATCTCTTGGCTTCTAAAATTGCATGAGACAATTTGTATAAATAAATCTCCTCTTATATATATCCTATCTTCTGTTTCTCTGCAGAACCTTGACTAACACAGACGCTTTTCAGTCTCCATTTTAGTTTCTTAGCACCTGTTTAGCTAATGTTGAGCATGTGTAGGGGAATAATAGAGTGGACAGAAGAATTACATAAAACTCCTGTTTCAACACTCCACTGGCTCTCCAGATCACTCACAATAAAAGCTAAAGTTCTCACAGTAGCCTACAAAATTCTAAAGATTTTCCCTCTACTGGAAAACAATTCTCCATGAGTCTCTTACATTTCTATACTTCTGGAGCCAAGGTACTGGCTGCCTTTGGACTATCTTTTCAAAGATAGATATAACGAACAGCTTTAGGAGACAGACTCTCTGGGGCAGGGGATAGGTTTGTTTATTGTCCAGTATAATAATATCTCCTTCTGGGTCAAGGGCTTGCAATCTATTAAGAAAGATTTGAGTTCCCTAAGCTGGGAGTTCCTCAGCTGTGATGCAGACCCACCATATGGGCTGCTCTGTGTCACTTGCAAAGGACTTGGGAGCGGGTGGAGAGGGGGACGGAGGGGAGCAAGTGGAAAAGACACAAACATGAAGTTCATGCTATTTGCTATGCTTGAGGTTATAAAATCCTTTGTTTCTGCCCTAGGAGTCTCCTCTCTGCCAGTATCCATGGAAATGTATCAGGCTAAGTCGTTAGCTTGCAAATGAGATAAAGTCTCAGAACCTTTCCAATTCTTAACTGCTTACCCACACCTCTCTCACCTCATCTGCTACTCCTTCCCTTGTCATCCCTGCCTAGCTACTCTGGCCTCCCAGCTGTTCATGGACTCTGTCAAGCATACTCCTGCCTCATGGCCTCTGCACATGCTGTTTTCAGCCTGGAATATTTTATCCCCAGATGTCCTTCAGGTCCTGTCCAAATGACACCTGAGTGGAGTCTTCCTTCACTACTCTATGTAAAATAGCCTTGCCACCAGTAAACAGGTGGAATTTTGCCAACCTAATGGATGAAAATGGAATCTCAATGAGTTTTAAATTTTTTATTATTTTCTATATCTGTATATTCTATAACATTTACAATATTTCCATTAATAGTTTATTGTGCTTAAGAGCCATTTACACTTCTTTTCCTGTGAGTTGTCTGGTCCTATCCTTTGCCTATTTTTCTAATGATAGTTGGTATTTTTCATATTAATTTTTCACTTGCCTTGGATGTAATTACATATACTTTTTCTCAACTCGTTATCTGTCTTTTGAGTTTATGGTGTCATTATTATTTTAATGTGAAAGTTTTCTATTTTTCTGTAGTTGAATTTATCAATTTCTAATGGCTTCTGGATTTTCAATCAAAACCAGAAAGCTCTTTTCCATTTTAAGATTATAAAGAATTCATCCATGCTTTCTTCTATTTTTCTAGTACTTTTACAGCGTTGTTTCAAAATATACAAATCTCTGAATCATTTGGAACTTATTTGGTGGAGCATGTGGCTCATAAATTCAACTTTTAGGGTTTTTTTGACTATCCAATTGTCCCAACCTGTTATTATATATTTTTAAGCACATAATTGAAACATTTATTGAAAACCTACTTGGGGAAAATTGCTAACATGCACAGCAATGCCTCTTTCACCCATCTTAGAGGTGGGTACACTGGCCTAGGGCATTTGTCAACTTGCCCAAGGCTGGTCAGTTGGTAAGTAGAGTTTGCAGATCTTCTGAGAATCTGCATGTGTGCTCTCTCCTTCCTTCCAAGCTTCCCCTCAAACGGCTCTTATGGTTTGGGACCCCCCACACCTCTTGCAACTGCACTTATATCGAGGCCGGTAATCCAATGCATTGGCAGTAATCTAGTTCACTGGGGCAGCCCTGTGCCTTTGGGATGTACACATTAGGGTTCCAAGCCCCATGAACACAGTAACCCTGGTTTAGCCAAAGCTGGTGAGAAGCCTCCAAACATGGACTAATCCCATACTGTGTCTGGGCAGGATTCAAACTCAATGCAGAAGACCCAGAGGATGAAAGGTGGGGGAAAGTATTGCTGGAGTTGCCAGGTGCCACTTTAATTTTATTTCTGCATGTATGTGGTTCTATTTCTGTCCTTTGTTTCACTAGTTTGGCTTTTTGTGCACTAGTACCAACTATTTTAATTACTAAAAATCTACAACATGTTTTAATATCTGATAGTGCTAGTTCCTCCCTCCTTGTTCTTCTTTTTCAGAGCTTGTTTCCTGAGTAGTATTTTTATTTTTCCTTTTGAATTTTAGGAACAAATATGGTAGTTTAAGAAAAATACATAACTTATTAATCCTATTAGTTCTTTTATAGGAATTATGTTAAATTTATAATTTTACATAAAGAGAATTGAAATCTTGGTGATATTGTGTCTTCCTACCCCAAAATATCATTCACTTTTCGATCTGACTCAGTTTTCTTATTTGTAAAATGGGAGCATCACACCAATCTCATAGAATTAAATGAGAAAATGCATGTGACGGACAAAAGTAGGAGCCAACGTGTTACTTTGCCACTTTGCCACTCTCTAGCAAATGAACTTGGGCTTGGTTACCAGACTATTCTGAACTTAGGTTCTCTATTTGTAAACTAGGGGTAATAACTATCTGTTTAATAGGACTGTAATGAGGGTCAGATGAGATGAGGCATGCCAAGTACTCAGTGCACTGCTTGGAACAAATTCTCAAAAAATATTAGGAATCCTAAAAAGTAGGCTATCACAGGGCAATGTGACTTAAAAGCAAAAGTTTGCAGAGATCCACCTTAGGTCGAGGGATCTCAGATCAAATCTTTCCGAGAACCTACCTAACCGTCGGTCACCAATTCCGACTTCCCCCATGCGCCGGAGAAGGCAGTCCGATTTGAAGTCACGATGCCCAGCGTCTAGATCCACCGCGAGCCTCCAGGACGCTGCCTCCACCCTCTGGAACGCGGCGCTGCCACGTCTCGCGCGTCCAGCTCTCTGTACGGGAGGAGGCGTGCCCACGTCGGGCCAGCCCCTGAGCGTGCTTCGTCACGCCTGAGGTCCGCCCCGCCGCGGCCGAAGTCGCAGGTAGGGGGCTCCCCACCCCGCCCACCTCGCCCGCCTCGGTAGCACAGCGCGGTGACGCTACGAAGGGGCGGGGGCAAGCACGCGCCCGGAAGTCCCGGGGGAGGGAATGTTACGTATATCCGGCGAGTAGCTGGCGGTCCGGGTTGCTGCTGGGTTGTGTGCTCTGAGGGAGGGTCGAAGCCGCCCGCCGCCTCCGGAGGAACCCCCTAGGCCGTGAGTCAGGCAGCCGGGGCGAGGGAAGGAGTCTGGGTCGGAGGGGCTGGAGCGGACGGCGGGAGGGTCGGGGCGGAGGCCTGCGCAGGCGGGGTTGGGGGGGGGAAGTGACACGCAGGCGGTTCTGTGGAGCCGCTGGGCTGGTTCTGGGCGGGAATGGGCTTACTCAGCCGGGTCTGCTCGGTCCCCTGCCGGTCTCTGGATTTCAGGTCGGCCCTGCATTCCGCTCAGGGGTTTTGCCCCTGCTGTGCAGATTAACAGTTTTCTTGTCTGTACTGTGCGCTCTGGTTTACGAAATGGTTTCACACCCCCTGTCTGGGATGAGCCTCACAGCCCTCGGGGAGGCGGGTGGGAGACTTTGATTATCCTTGTTTTACAGACTTGGGAACTGAGGCTCACTGAGGCACAGTGAATTGGTCAAGGCTCCACAGATAACAAGCGTGAACGTTGGAACCAGTTCTCCTGGCTCCTAGTCCAAGGCTCCCCTTCGCTCCCACTTCACCCCTCTGTGTTATCATCTGATGTCCTCGGTAGAACCCCGTATTTTCTCCTTCCACCTCCATCTTTGCCCTCTCGCTTTCCTCAGTGCATGGAAAAGTTTCTTCATGTTCCTTTGGTATAGATTAATAATTTCTGCACGATTCTAGCGGAGAGGTCAGCACACTTGTGAGCGTCGGCACCAAAACTTAGTGTTTTCCCTAGCTCTTTCCTTCTTTACCTCGATCCATCTGCTTAAGTTGTGACAGTGGGCTTATGGAGCTTTACAATAGGCTGGTCTTTGACATATATCCTGCAGCTAAGCAGGTGTCTTGGGTAAAAGGCAGCTGCCAGCTACCCCAGGTCTGTCTGGAATAGTGTCTCAAAGGAGTTCTGAGTGTGTATAGAAGTAATGAGTATGTATAAGAAGTGATGCATAGATTCTTTATTGGCTAACAGTCAGCCTAGTGCTTTTCCTTTTTATTTATTTGATCAATCATTCCTGAATTTTGCAAATTTTAGTTTTGGGTACATTGGTAGTGCTTTCGTTGGTAGTTTAGGGCCCTTAAATTTTAGAGTACTCTGATCTGCCTTAAAGTGCCAGAAAGTAGAGAGAGGATCAAGGATAGAAAATAAGTAGAATGCTAGTTATTAATAGACCATTCAAAAGGTGCGGTGTGTTGTAAGGAAGAAAATTTTAGAAGATTATCTGTGTAGTTGGTGGATTAAGGACGTTTTATATCTTTTTAAAAGCAGTTGTGTAACTTTGATATGAGTTTTATGTGACATTAACAAGAAGAGTTGTGGCTTTGGCATTAAAAGAGGAGGGCTTATTTTGGCATTGTTACTTTTCCAGCTGAGCAGTCTTGATTAAGCCAGCTAACCTAGGAGCATCATCATCTTCATCTTGTTAAATGAGGCCAAGAGTCTATGGCCATGCCACCCTGAACAAGCCTAATCCCGCCTGATCTCGGAAGCTAAGCAGGGTCGAGCCTGGTTAGTACTTGGATGGGAGACCACCTAGGAAGACCAGGTGCTGTAGGTGTAAAAAGTAAAAAATAAGGTATTGTAAGCTGACAAGGTCCTTGCAATCAGTGAGGTCAACCAAGAATTGCCTCGCCTAAAAAAATAAATAAATAATAAATATAAATGAGGCCAAGGATTCCTGCCTGGTGGGGTTGATGTGAGATTGAAATGAGATGTATATGCAGGTACTGCATAAACTGTAAAACTACTCATGAGAGGTACAGATCCTAGAATCTCAAGGATGGAGGTGCTATCAAAGCCATTTCCTTAATTTTGGGTAGCAGTGCAGCACAAGTCTTTGTGTCCAATAAGGATTTTTATTATTTTTTAACTTCACCTGAAGAGTTTCTTCAAGCACTCTCTGTCGATCATTTTGGCGAGAAGAATTATAGGACTTGTAAAGCAGGTATGCCAAAGGAAAATAAATGGAAAATCAAAGTAGTTCAGTTATCATGAAAAATTCCTTAAAGTGGGGTTTTTCCCTTCTCACCTTCCAAGAATTCATCTAGTTGGGAAGACTTCTAAAACGATGTAGTAAAACTTTACGAGAATCTGTAAACTACTGACTGCAAACCAGTGTAGTGCAAATAAATTCATGAGTGTTGAGTTTTAAAGGAGTGATCAGAATGGAAGTGATCTAAACGAGAGGTGCTTTCTAAAGGTGAGCTGCACTTTTCCAGGTGATAGACTGAGAAAAGGAGGGAAGGAAAAGATGGCTTGTTTGTGGGATTGCAGAGGAGTGGCACATGGTTCTTTTATTTACCAACAGTGGGAACTTAAGTACAGGTACTTTGTAAGTGATTTAAGTCATTGATTTCTTAAAGTGCAGGCCAAGTTTCCAGACAAAACTGGAAACATGCTAAATTTGTTCTTTCTGCCATAGTATATTTTGCTGTTACTGAAAGGGCAAAAAAAAAAAAATAGAAAAACGTATTTAGTATCTTTTTATAAAAGCTTTTGCCTTCAATCTTTACCCTCACTCAAACTCCCAAGTTTCATTTGGCCCTCTATGGTAACAGTCATAGAAAATAATATTAAGTAGTCCCTAAAATTTATAGGTCAGGCCACAGGCCTGATTTACAAAAACAAAAACACAGTAACTGGATGAAAAAGAAAATGAACACTATCTTAATTTTCCAATTTCTAATTCATCTAGCATTCTTTGAAGAATATAGATGGATTTTTATGTATAAACCATTTACAGGTCACTATTAAAAGTAACAAAACTAAACTTTTATTTATTTTTTTGAAAAACAAAACTTTACAAAAGTTTTGTTTGAAAGCAGTTGCTCATATGTAGTGTAAAGGCTTGTGTTCAGATGCTTTTGATGGACAGGAGTGAAAGTGGAGTGGGGGGGGGTCTTCTTTTTTTTCACTTTTTGCACCAGAGAGGCATAAGTTCAGTGCTGATTCTGAGAAACCTTAACATCCACCATTGGCTCTAGATCCTCCTCTCTTAACTTTATGCAGAGGTCCTCTTGCTTATTACTAGTGTATGTAGATCTTTTGCTGCTTTGGGTCATCTTTTGTTTTGTCTAGGCCTATGAGAAACAGTAGAAAAAAGTGGTGTTAATATTAGTACTAATTAAGGTGTGTACTTGCCTAGGAACCTACCACAATGTCCTGAACAAGTATTCTTATTTTAAGAAAATCTGTATTTGTAAAATGGTTAGGTCTTGATTATTCACATTATGAAAGGATTATCTTCTTACTGCTTCATAGTTCTCCAGAATGGTGATACCATCTTTATAATAAGTTGAGACATATATCTAGGGCTTAAACAAATATTGTTTAAGAAGAGATAGTATTGATAAATGCAACAGGGCAAATTGTGTGCCCAAAAGACTTTTGGTGACTGTTTTTTAGACTGGTTTACAGGGAGATGGGTTAATATGTTTTTCATTCTGGTTAATATGCCTTTTTTTTTTTTCATTCTTATTTTCTACTTAGTGCATCGATGTGACATTTTGATCCAGATTATTGATGGGACTGATTTCCTAGAGGTTTTGCTAACTGGTAGACAGCAGTGGTGTATCTAGGGAATGTGAATGAGCAGCTGCCTGGAGGAGTGAGTCACACAGAAAAAGAGGAAAGTATATCTTTAACTCCTGATCCTCTGAGTATCATAGATTAAAAATTATTAGAAAACCAAAAGTTTAAACTATTAGAAAACCAGGAGTTTGTCCAGATCTGAGGACCCCAGAGACTTCCTTTGTTTTCTTATCCCCAAAATCATGGGACTGTAAACATGCATCAAAGCCAGGGAATGAGAGTTAACTTCTCCAGAAATGTACTAGCATTCAGAAAGCTAATGTTTGCTGCTTTTGTATTTTTTACAGGTAGTAAGCGTTAATAATGTCTTTCATCTTTGAATGGATCTACAATGGCTTCAGCAGTGTGCTCCAGTTCCTAGGTAAAGCCGTTTTCCTTGAAATTTATCATAGATTTCAAACTTTCTGCATTTCCTCCAACAATTTAAATATAAGAAGCCTTTAGTAGATAGAAAGCAAAATTATGTTGAAACTTTTTTTTCCTCTTTTAGGACTCTACAAGAAATCTGGAAAACTTGTATTCTTGGGTTTGGACAATGCAGGCAAAACCACTCTTCTGCACATGCTCAAAGATGACAGATTGGGCCAACATGTTCCAACATTACATCCAAGTAGGTTTGAAAACAACAGGTGACCTTTTGATATTTAAAGGTCAATGTCAGGGTTGGGGATGAATCCCCAATTGATGCAATTCTTTTATTAACTGAAGTCCCAAAAGACAGCTCAACTGAAAAAAAATTTTCTATAAGACATACTCAGGTCACATACTCATAAATCTAAACCTCTGGAACTATCTTTTCAGATAGTTCACTAGTCCTGAAATGGGACGCATCTCTCATACCTGCTTCTAAGAAGCAGCATACACCTTAGAGAAAAAACTTGGCCTTTTAAAATAATTTAATAATGTTTTCACACTTGTATTCTTTACAAGGCGAAAGCTTTATTAAGTTTTGTATTTGTATTAGCTTATAGTCCTGGTAGCTGGGCCTTGTTGGATGGAGAAATTTATTTTTTCTCTTTTGATCATTTTTTAGCATCAGAAGAGCTGACAATTGCTGGAATGACTTTTACAACTTTTGATCTTGGTGGGCATGAGCAAGGTAAGAAAGAGACCATTCAGTGAAAGGATTCATTCTGTGTTCCTCCTCATTTTTTAAAAATCAGTGTCATTTTTGCCTTTTAAATTGCTTGCACTTAAGATTGAGTTCTTATTACTTTAATGAAGTTGATTTATTCACTTGTTATTTTTAAGTAATTTCCAACTTGTCAAAAGTTGCGTAAATAATACAGAACTCACTTCTTCATACCTTTTGCCCAGACTAATTAGTCTTCCTCTATATAATACATGTTAACATTTTTTTCTTGAACCATTTGTGAGTTCATCATGCTCTTTTATTCTTTAATGCCTTAATGCATAGTTCCTAGGAACAAGAATATTCCATTATATATGAATATCAAACATAGGTATCAAATACAGAAAGTGTTATTTTTATCTACTCTATAGTGTATATTCCTTTTTTGTCAATTGTCCTAATAATCTCCTTTATAGCATTTTTTCGTTTGAACATGATCCAGTAGAATAGCACATTGAATTTAATCTTGTCTCTTTTGTATCCTTTACTTAATGGAGTATAAGTATATAGGAAATTAAGTTATTATTTTCAGTAATTTCAAACTTGTCAAAAGTTGCAAAAATGATACAATGACTCCTCTGTGACCACTATGATCTAAATTGATATTTTATATTCTCTACCTATTTGGGTCAGTTGGTAGAACATTTTCTTCTACCTTCTTGTTCTCCTCAGTGCATTTTGCCTTACTCAGGCTATGTCTGTCTGGTTCCCAAATCCCTATCAAGTGTCTTATATGTCTTTTAAAGATACACAGAATAGGGCATCTTTATCTGATGGACACTCACTTTACATTTGGCAAGACTCTAGGCTTAGGAGTAAAACATTTACGATGTGGGAATAAATATTCTGGAAGGTAGAAGAAAGAACTCCTGAGATGCTTTCAAATTTACTCATTTGTTTTTAAATTGAGTTTAGAAGTTTCATTTGGAGCATTATATTAGGTTGAATCTAATTACAGTTTTTTAAAAATTTAGTTAAAAATAGAATATTGGTAAGTTAAATTATTCAGCAAAAAAAATTTAGCCAAAAGGTTGAGAAGCAGTTGAAATAATTTTATAGTCAGTGATTACATCAACATATAATTACATTTATTTTATTGACTATTTATAGGCTACAAAATCATATAATAGTATGATCACAATCACATAAAATATTTGTACAGAAAATGTTGAAAAAAGTATACAGAAACATTAGTGGATGTGTTTTGATGGAGGATTACACATCTTGTTTCCTTTTTTTATAATGAGCTTCTATTTTCAATTTGGTAGCAATGGATGTATGCTGTTTTTTCTACTTCTTTCTCTTTTTTTTTTGCCTTTTTTTCAAAAAGAGTTGTAACTGCTTACAAATTTAAATTCAGAAGTAGTATAATTATAAGCTGAATCGAGACCATTTGGAGAATGCAGAGCAGTAGATGTTTTTAGACACTGGAACTGGGAATTGTGTATTGTTTGGTTTGCTAATTTAGCTTTCTGGTTTTGATAGAGTAAGAAGAGAAATGTGTACATACTTTTGTTTGAGGAAAATTTACTTAACAGAAACACTTTTTCAAAATAACCTAGCCACCAATATATAGGAGTTATTAAAATGCGGTACATTTGGAAGTTTTTTTTTTTTAATATATAACTTTAAAAATTTACCCTATAAAAGTAGTGTAGGTTCAGTATAACAAATGAGTATACAGCTATGGAAGGTAAAAATGAAAGTTCCCGCAACCTCTTCTTCCCAGTCCTGCTCTTCAGAAGTAACCATTACTATCTGTTCGATATAGAATCCCGTTGAAAGGACTAGAAATGAATGGCTTAGAAATCATAATACCATTGAAGTGTTGCTTCCTAAACAATTATCATTTCATGTCATAAACAAAAAAATAAAACTTATAGGGCACACCACGTTAAAAACAAGAGACCGAGGTGATTGGCCTGGGAATTTTAACCACTTGTCAGGCCCAGTCTTCTTGAGGGCTGAGCAGATGAGTATGTCAGTATAATTACACATTGGTTAGTTGGGAACTAACTTAGGTCTAAAGTTACTTAGACAAGTAATTTACATCATGATATTTTAACTCAGAGGTTGCAAACAAATGGCTTCAGAGACGAGATGGGTGATTTAAGTGAGTGAAATTGGGTGTAAGACAGTAGGGAGTGGTGGAAACAGGCAAACTGAAGAGCCCAGCCCTCATCTAAAGGGGCAGCCACTGCACAGTTACCATTGGCAATTGGCATGTGGGTAGGTAGACATGAGATTGCCAGAGATAGTGCAGTACATCAGAAAATCAGGCAGAAACCTTGGTTTTTGAACTTTGAAAAATCAGATTCAGTCCATGGACCATTAGTTTATACCTTCTGTTCTGATTTAGTAATGGCTAAGAGTCGGAAAATTATATGAAGTCTAATGTTGTTGAAACCTGGTAAAGGTTTGCCCACTTCATAGACCATCAGGTTATTTATTTTCAAAATATGTGTATTTTTATTGATGCAACTGTAAACTTTGTCTTTTTTAGCACGTCGGGTTTGGAAAAATTATCTCCCAGCAATTAATGGGATTGTCTTTCTGGTGGACTGTGCAGATCATTCTCGCCTCATGGAATCCAAAGTTGAGCTTAATGTATGTTTATATTTTTTTCCTTTCTTGACCTCTGTTTCTTTTTAAGAAATACAGCTCAGTGGTGCCAATACTTAATCATTCCAGTTAACATTTGATGAAAGTCTTAGTATGGGAAGAAAGTGTTTTAAAATCTACAACATTGCTTTTCAGGGTCCTAAGGAAACTAACTCAGCTTGAACTTGAATAAATTAACTTTGTTTATATCTATCAAGGGGTGGCTCGGTGTCCAGTTTACTCAAGATGCTCCTCAGTTTATGCCTGTTATCCCAGCATAATTAACATCTTTCTCTTTTTACATATCTCCTGTGGCCATTCTTTATGAAGTGCTGGCATAGCGAACCCTTAAAAGAGATTAGAGTACTTAACATTTTGAATCTGCCCTCTCAGATGGTGCCTGCCCACCCTTGCACTCAATGACTTGCTAGACCTTAAGAGTCTGTTCTCAGTCTTCAGTTTTGGTCACATGCAGCATTTGATACTATCAAGGACTCCAAGTGTTCTCATTTCTCAACATTGCATCTTGGCTTGACAGGTTCTATGTTGCCTTTGTTATCCCTACTGCTTTGCCCTACACTTCTTTTTTTCTCTTTGATTTATAAGTGTCTCTCTGCATTCTTGGCAATTCGAACCTGTCTCAAGCTTATTTGAATGTTTCTAGAATTTATACTGAAGTCTCATGGAGAATTGCCTGTAGGGCAGTCCTTCTCTTACTTGACCTTTTGGCACTGGCCATTCTCTTTAAACTCCCTTTTACATTCTTGATTTTGGAGCTCGCTCCTTCACTGAAACTTCTTAGACTCTTTCATAAGTACCCGTTCCTCTGCTTAGCCTTTAAATCTTGGTGTTCCCCAGGGCCTATACTTTTTCCCAAGCTACTTCCATTCCTTCATCACCCATCCACGTGACAGTGACTCCCAAATGGATTTCTCTCGTCTAAACCTTTTGAGTTCTAGCCTCATACATAGTGCTGCCTGCTAGACAACTCTACCTACCAGTTCTGTCCTAGAATGGAACTATTCATCTTTCCCACCATCTACCTGGACATGCAGTCCAGACCCTGTGAATTACTGTAGATTCCGCTACTACCACCCTGCCATATACTGTAATAATGCTAGAAGAACTTTTTCAAACTTGTCATTGCCCTACTTAATATCTTTTAATAAATCTTTATCACCTTTAGGCTAAAATCCACAAATCTTTTATGTAGCACATAAAATCTTTCATGAGCTTTCTTCTGTTTATTTCTCCAGCTGCTTTTCTCTCTGTTGCCTACTTTGAACTACATTTCAGCATACAGAACAACTTGCCCTACCTTGCGTATGCAGAAGTGGCTATCCCTGCACAGCTTTCTCACTTGCCCCTCTACCTTGTTTTGCTGGTAAATTTCAAAATGTCCTTTAAGAGATCTCAGAGTTCAGGTATAACTACTAGGAAACCTTTCCTGAACTCTCAGACTGTTAGACTCTCCACCTCATCAGTGTCTGTTGTCTTTACTGGTTTTCTTATAGGTCTCTCCCACCGGACTGTGAACTTGGATAGTAGGGACCTTGTCTTAGTTCTTTGCGAAACTCCTGCATTTAGCAAAGCATTGGTTACATAGTAGGTACATTGATAGAATGAATAGTCAAAGCATATTCTTCTTTATCTGTTCAACTCTATAGTCTCCTTTTCAAGTTTTTCCTGTCAGAACTAGATTCTCAGTGCAATATTGTGATTTATAAGAAATATATATTTAGTCATTCAGATGATCAAAATGTATTTCTCATACATATTTGGTCTTCAGCCATAGTTACCGGCACACAGCTCCCCAAACCTAAGTGGGGAGTGCTACATAGGTATCTTTTGTTACGTCAATGAGGTGGCTTTTGGATACCTACCAAAGAATGGGGGCTGGTTGCCAGGAGACCCAACCATTAGAAGTTGGAACTTTCAGCCCCATCCCAGAACCTCTGAGAAGGAAGGAAAGGGCTGGAGTTGCCCGTGGCCAATGATTTAATCAATTATGACTGTGATTAGAGCCTCCATAAAACTCTCCAGGTTGGTGAACACATGGAGGTTTAGAGAGTAGCTCTCCTGGAGAGAGGGCATAGATGCTCTCTGCTCTTTCCCCATACCTTGCCTTATGCATCTCTTCTATCTTGACTGTTGCCTGAGTTATATCCTTTTATAATTAACCGGTAATCTAGTAAGTAAAATGTTTCTCTGAGTTCTATGAGTCATTCTAGCAAATTTAACAAACCCAAGGAGGGGGTTGTGGGAACTTCTGATTTTATAGTCAGTCAGATATACAGATAACAGCTTGGACTTGTGACTGGTATGTGAAGGTGTTGGGGGCAGTCTTGTTGAACTGAACCCTTAACCTGTGGAAATTGATGCTATCTCTGGGTAGCTAGTGTCAGAATTGAGTTGAATGTAGAAAACCCAGCTGATGTCCCAAGAATTGCTTGTTGGCTGGGGAACCTCCCCTTACATTGTATTCGATACCAGAACCAAATACAGGCTTGAAGTCACTGCCAGCTTTGACTCCTCTTTTGTCTGTCCTATCATTTAAACTTTAGTCTCTTTACTTCTTACTTCAAAATGCCTGGTGCACTATTCGTTATATACTGCCATCTTAAGCTAGATCATCTCTTACCTAAGCACCACACATAGATACTATTCGTGAATTCATTGTACTAAAAGTATAGATTCTCTCTCTGTGGGGTCTTCAGGTTCTATTGCAGCTAACCTCTCAGACTGGCACCAAATGTTGGTCATCCCTTCCCATCTCGCTTACTCCGTCACTACACGTCAACATAAATGCTTTAATCCAGACAGGTGATACTCTGCAGCTTCCTGAGTTCTTTGCCTGCTGTAAAGCCATTGTTTGTATTCTTTCTCCTTTCCACCTATCTAAATTCTGCCCCCTATTTAGAAACCAGTTTAGGTTCCATAGCTTTGCTAAGACTTTCCTCAAGCCTACATTACCATTTTATTTCCCAGAATATCTTTTAGTATTTATAGTCTTTCCCCATTCATTGTGACAGTTAATCGTCCATTTGCCTTGGTTTGTTGATAGATGTGTGAACATAGAGTGAGGATTTCTTGAGGCCAGGGATGTGTTTTACCCTTCCTTTCGTATCCCTCTCAGTACTTGAGATAGTGCTTTGCACACATTGGGCACACAGTGAATACTTAGGGAGTTCCTGTCATTTTTGAGGCTCTGTAGCCAGAGCATTCATGTGTCTAGGACTGTGTTCAGTGGATAACCTGAGGATAGCTTGTGGCTGAGTGACTTAGCTTTAAGATTGGGGTAGTTCTGCTCCTTTGTAAATAGGTGCAGCCTTAAGTTGCAATTGCTTTGAGGCCATTAGAGGATTTTTACCTAACGTCAAGATATTTTTAGGGGCTTTTTACCTAATATTAAGGGTGTTAAATATGTAATGTCAGGATTAACTTTTAAGATTAAGTTAATCACTCAGGTATAAAGATCAGATTTTCACTTTATATTTGATACCTTATAGACAAGTAAAAGTCAAAGTGGTTTTCGTTATCTGGTGGGCTTTTATAAATAGATTCCTCATTTTTTGTCTTGTCTTTAGGCTTTAATGACTGATGAAACAATATCCAATGTGCCAATCCTTATCTTGGGTAACAAAATCGACAGAACAGATGCAATTAGTGAAGAAAAACTCCGTGAGATATTTGGGCTTTATGGACAGACCACAGGAAAGGTAAGAGAAAAATCTTCAGGGGACATATTATTAAAGGAAATTCATAGCTTTTAAAATATTCATATTTTGCTGTCTAGATTTTATTTACCGTTCTACTAAAGTTTAACTGGGCTTAGGATTTGTTTTGTTAATAGGTAATTCGTAGATTCTCTGAAGTCAGCATGTTTTTTCTTTAACTGTTTTTTAATGCAATACATTCCTCAGGTATATGAGGATGAAGGAAATGGACAACAGGCAAACTTACCATTTAAAAATTTTTTGACTATCTTTCAAATTTGGTTCTGAGAAATCTCTTTTGAAAGAGTGGTTTTTAGCTAGAAATCAACATTTTTTTTGATTGGAGGTTTCCAGTTATGAAGAGTGATCATTTATATATATATCACTTTCTAAGCATTGAAATCAAAGCAGTGGATTGTCCTCATTGCCCCTTGCTGAGGGAGAATGGACTATTACCCCATTTTGAAGACGAGGGAACAGGATTATTCATGTTTATACAGCAAGCCAGTGATAAGACCAGAAATAGAACCTGAGTCTTCCAGATCAATAGGTTATGTTGTCTCCAATTGGAAGGACTAATGCAGAAAAGTGTGCTTGTGAGAGAAAACCTAGATGAGCTCTAATTAAGCAGTAACCCTGGTCTTTTCAGCTCAGGGTTTTGACATATTTAATTTAAAATTTTTTTCTTTTGAGGAATTTATGATAACTTTTTAACTTTACATGGTTCCTCAGTCTTGCCTCTTGGTTATCTGTTTCTTTCAGAAATGCTTTCTTTAATTCATTTAGTTTCCCTTCCGCACAAATTTTACACGCATGTGAATTCTTAATTTCCTCAATGTAACTTATTATTAATGTATATTTCTGAATGCTTGCATTAACGAAAATGTCCTTATTTCTAAAAACTCCCAGACTTCTTTGGGAGCTTGTCCATCAGAGAGCATGCTGGTTCTCTGTCCAGCAGCCTTCTTCTTGGTTTGCTGCTGTAGCTGGCCAGATGAATGTTGGTGTGTTCAAAGCAAATGCCCTTCACAAAGAGAGGCTAGGAATAGGACTTCGCTGCTTATTCTGTCCTGAAAGCATGAAATTCTTGGGAAATCATCTGTATTGCCTTGACCACATTTCTGTAATTAATCCCTCTTTAGATTTGCTTTTAAAGAAAGGAGACAGTGATTTTTGTGATCACCCTTTCAAGCTTTTCCATCACAGAGATGCTAGCTAACAGGCCTTTCTTGGTTTTGTTTCCTTTAGGGGAATGTGACCCTTAAGGAGCTGAATGCCCGCCCCATGGAAGTGTTCATGTGCAGCGTGCTCAAGAGGCAAGGCTATGGAGAGGGCTTCCGTTGGCTCTCCCAGTATATTGACTGATGTTTGGACAGTGAAAATAAAAGAGTTTTACTCCTCTGGACTGATCCTATTCACAACTTCCTCATGAACTTTTCTAATAGAACAAGGAAAGCTCTCCAACTATGTCTGGCATTGAGAAGCCAACAGTCTCTGTCAGCTCTCCCATCGCCCAGTGGTGATATGTGCTCTTCTCCACACTGCCCGGAGGTAACGCTGCCCCATGTGCTGGTGCAGGTCAGCATCCTGGGACTTGGAAACTGGCAGGATTTGCTGGGTAACGCTGTGTGCCATCATGGGGCACGGGAAAAGAAAAACACGTCTCACCACTGTGGTTAATTTCAAAAGAAAGCGATTCTATTTTTTAAAGAAAGTGTTGTTAATGTAATTGGTTTCCCTCCTAACTTTCTGAGTTTACAATTTACTTGGTCCAGAGTTTTCTATTCCCTTTTTTTTTTTTTAAATCTAGTGAATGGCATTTAGATACTTCATAAAATTATGCACAGATACATGTTGGAGGCTCGTCAAGTGAACTTAATCTTGTTGAGTTAGCAGGTTGCTGAGAGAAGCTCCCCTGTCTGTTGAACTGCCTTATAGCAGGTGGCATCACCTTGTACACAGAGAACTAGGAAAGGGCAGAATCCTGCCCTCGCAGTTCAAGCAGGTTTCCACTGTGGCAAGCTAGGGTTATTCCTCATCATGGAGTGTATAGCAGATTATTCACTGCAGAGGAGTTAATTATTGAGTGGGTTATTATTATTACTTATAAAGTTAAGAATTTCAGCCCATCTTTGCTTTTAACTGTTACAAAGTTTCATTTCCCTATAGCACCTTTTTCATTTTCAGTTATACAAAGTTGTTATATACTACAGATGTGTGTCATTTACTTTTGCACATATTCCAGGGGGAGTTTTTCTGAATAGGAGAATCGGTTTTTCTGAATAGAAGGGCTCTTAATTTTGTCACTTGAGAACTTAAAAATCTGGTAGTGTAGCATTTGGTTGAATCTAAGAAAGATTTACACAGTGGGCTTTAAATTTTCCACTTGCAGAATTTGGTCTCTTTATTGGACTGTTCATGAACTTACATCAATTTTCTTTGGTATTTAAAGGTTAACATCTGTAGCTTTTCCTTTTGTGTGTGTGTGTGAAATTGCCTTTCTCTGTTCCAGAAATAAGCTGGAGAAACTAATCCAAGAATCTTATGTAGAGCTATTTCTTTTGAGCCCATATCACTTATTGTCAGTAAGCACCCAGTACAGAAGTCTCCGAATCTCCAGTAGTGTGATGAGGATTATTTTTATATCCTTATTTCTTAATGCCATATGTGAAATTGGATTTTCATGATCTTAACCAATTTTCTACCCTTGCAGTAAAAGATGATGGGAAGGGAGATGGTCTTAAGGGAGGATATCTTCATTCCTTTTTCCTTTAATGAATGATTAGAGGTAGTTTCCTCAAAATTGAAAATTGTTATGATGATGCTTATTTGCAGAGGATTGAATTCAGTGGATTCTTGCTTCTAATGTGAGGGGAGGGAAAGTGGATAATATTCCTGGGGTGAGAGAGTATCATTCTTTAGTTGGATTTCTCGTTGTTAGTCTTCAGTACTGACCTGTTGGGAAAGCATACTTTTCACTGCCAGGTCCAAATGTAGAGGCTCAGTGAAGTATAAATCTGGGAAGAGCATGACTTTCATTAACGAGCAAGTTTAGCTGGATTAAGACAAAATTGTTGGTTTGGAAAGGGGTTAAAGCCTTAAGTGAATAAGTCTAGCTAATGGTGAAATAATTAGGTAGTTAACCTTCATACTTTTAATTTCCTTTGGCTAAAGGTAATCCATACTTCTCTATCCAGAGACATGAAAAATATGATTGTTTTAGTGTTTTTCCTGTTTTTGTTTTACCCCTAATCACTTTGTAGCAAGCTAGAAAATTATGGCTTCTATGCAGGGTGGCTCTTTGTGAAAGTGGTCTATTTTGGCCACTGGAGAAAGAGGGGATTGAAAAGTCAAGTAGCACTTGTCTATTTCTTGGACCACAGAAAACATTTCCTATAATAAAATAGTAGAAAGAAGCTGCTGTTGAGCTTGGCTCCTAACAGCAGGGATCAGAGCTTCGTACAGGAACTCCCATGAATTGAGACTTTTCATTCTGTTTTATCAGAGTGCATATATGTCCTATTTCAGGAAAAGTAAAACAGTCATTTACAAAAGAAAGTCAATCTGTATCCTAAGCATTTTAATAAAAAGTTGAAACAAACTTTTCTGTCTTTTTTTTTTTGGCCTTGGTTCTGAGTTTGAACATGTGACATTTGTTGTGTGGGGGAAAGCAAAAGTTTCTCCCTACTTATGGGGAGAAATATATACAATGGATGTAAGAGACATAAAATTTGCTACCAGGAAAAAGAAAAGGCTAGGCCAGTTCACACATTCCACTAGAAATAAATTTAGTACTGTTTGAGAGCCTTGGAACATGTGGTGGTCCCGGGATTGGTGGTCATCTCTGTGACAGGATGGACATGGCAAACTTTTGAACAGTCATATTAATATGATAGATAGTAAGGCCTGGATCCAGTTTAGCTGTGTTTCACTCATTTTATACGGAATTGGAGATATCTAGTTGAATCCTACATTTGGCAAAATAGGTAATGAAACAAACCTGTGCTTGTGCATTTACTAGGCTTGTAGAAAGACGGGCTTTTAGAAAACCCCAATTGAGGTTCTAAAAGTATCAACAAATAGAATGGGAAGCAAAACACAAGAGGTTTTTTTGACAATATTAAAATTATTGGAGGCATCCTGTGATTGAAACTAATGTCCATGTTACTATGAAAGGAAGCTGTGGGTTCTATGTTCATTTGTGTTTGTGTCGAAGTAGTGCATGAGAATTAAAAGCTGAGTCAGTGAGCCCAACACTCAAGGCGTCTCACCTTGGCTCTTGGCTGTGACTTGGGACTCTACTGTGATGTGCCATAAACAGAAAAATCTGTCGTATGTAACAATTCATTCAGGAGGCTTGAGCATCATTAAGGAAGAATCACTAGGCTCTAGAGAGAAAGGCTCTTAATTGCTAGAAAGTTGAGATACTTGAGAGATTTTACTGAGCTCAAGCCATCTTTGTCAGAACAAAAAAAGACAACGCTTGCTATGGAAAGACTGCTAATTTCAGTCTTGCCTCATACTAAAATGGATCATCATTTCCCATTTTCAGCCAAGTTTGTTGCTGGGAGCAGTGCAAGCATTACCTATTGTGTTGTGCTGGGGTACACCAAGCAGCATTAGTTACTAAAAAGTTTGAGGCACAAAAGTATAATTTTAGTAACTGAATATATTTTTCATTAATGCTGACATAAATATGTATTAAAATAATCTTTTGTTAAAATATGTACTTTAGTGATATGAATGTCTTCTTTGTAGTGACTGCTTTGGGGATGACCTGGAGCCTCCCAGAACATACTTACTCATCCTCTTCTATCCTCAAGGATACTTCTTTAGAAAAGTAGAGATGTTTTATGTTAGATCAGGGATGGCAAACTATAGGTTGTGGGCGAAATCTGGCCTGCTGCCTGTTTTCTTATGGCCTGTGAGGCAGGGGAAATTTTATGATGTTCACATTTTAGTGCCCATAAATAAAGTTTTGTTGGAACAGAAAGCCACCCCATTCCTTTAGCTTTTGCATGCTACAACTGCAGAGTTGAGTATTTAAGACAATGTATGGCCTGCAAAACCTGAATACACTCTAGCTCTTTACAGAAAAAGGATTTGGTCTCTGACCTAGATAAATCCTGAATGGTCATGTGAAATGTGCACACTGCAAAATATAGGCTTGTATAATTAAAAATTTTGACTTTAACCACTGTATATAGTCAATTTTAAGGGACAACTTTATTTGGAACAAATCTAGTTTCCATGGGATTTGTTGTGGGCTTTGGTATGAAAAGGTCTGAAGTTTAATCTTGTGAGCTCCATGTCCCTTAGTGGATTGCTGTGGGGTTTACTTACAAAATTTCAAAATACTGAATTGACCAAGGATTTCTTGCAGTATTTATTCTGTCAGAGGTCGAACGTCACCTATACCTGGGCAGATCCTGACAGGTGCTTTCATGGCCTGGGCAAGTGTAGCCACATTAGCTCTCGTTTATTCCCTTTCCTGCAGCCCAACTAACCGAAAGGATTAGTTAGGCTCAGCGGGACCCTCCCCTGTCCCTCCCCTCTATCCCCCGGTAAAGCCGCAAACCTGTCACTCTTCCGGGGCTCGTCCTCTGGGGCAGCTTCGCCCTCCACGCTGCACGGGCCGCGGAACCCACAGGGGCGGTGGGAAAGGAGGGGCCAATCTCAGTAGCCAATCAGGGCTCGGCTCAAGGCCCAGCCAATCGGGCCGTGTCAGTTGGGCTTAGCCAATAGGACTCGAGGAAGACCTGACTCAGTGCTTGCGTCTCTGGCTTCCAACTCTGGGAAGCGCTGCGTGGTGTCTGCGGTCAGAGTCCGGTCCTGTCTCGTTTCGGCTGGCGTCTTCGCTCGTCCGGGAAGCATGCGGCGGCAGTGGGGACCCGCCATGAGGGTGGCAGAACAGGCGGGCTGCGTGGTGAGAGCCTCCCGGGCCGGGCAGCCCGAGGCAGGCTCCTGGAGCTGCAGCGGGGTGATCCTGAGCCGCAGCCCGGGCCTGGTGCTGTGCCACGGGGACATCTTTACCCCTTTTATGCGGGCCGGCAGCGGAGTGCTGACCGCGGCGGCCGCCGCCTTCCTGCCCGGCGACAGTTGCAGCGACGACTTGCGCGTGCACGTGCAGTGGGGCCCAACGGCCTCGAGTCCAGCAGGCCGCGCAGAGTGGGGCCGCCCCGGGCTGTGCACGCCCCAGTGCGCTGGCCTAGAGCCGATCCAGCCGACCTCATACCGCGGGCGGCCCCTGAAGCCCCCTCATCCTGCGGAGCTGCTGCTGCTGCTGAGCTGTCCAGCCTTCCGGGAACACTTCGCGCGCCTCTTCGGGAGCGAGGCAGCGGAGCAGTGGCGCTTCGCGAGCGCGGCGCCGGACTCCGAGGTGTCGGAGGACGAGGAGGAGGATCAGCTGAGAGCATTGAGCTGGTTCGCTCTGCTGCGAGTGCTGCTCGACCCAGAGGAGGAGGCGGTCGAGCACGGGAAGGTATTGGCTGTGGCGCCTCTCGGAACCGTGCCCAAGGGCGCACCGCTGCTGGCCTGCGGTTCCCCGTTTGGGGCCTTCTGTCCGGACATCTTTCTTAACACGGTCAGCGGCGGCGTGCTCAGCAATGCAACCGGCCCGCTGCTGCTCACCGATGCGCGCTGCCTGCCCGGCACCCAAGGCGGCGGCGTGTTTTCGGCGCGGCCCCCCGGGGCGCTGGTGGCGCTTGTGGCAGCACCCCTCTGCTGGAAGTCCCGCGAGTGGGTGGGCCTCACGCTGCTCTGCGCCGCCGCCCCTCTCCTTCGCGCTGCCCGTAACGCGCTCAGCCGCCTGCGACCTTCTGCAGCTTCCCTGGCCTCCCTCCTGCCGCCCGAAGTGGGCGCTCCTTGGGGCCTGCTCCTCCGAGACCCTGGGCCTCCGTGGGCAGGCGCGGCCGTGCTGGTGGAGTGTGGCACCGTCTGGGGCTCCGGAGTGGTCGTGGCACCCCGCCTCGTGGTGACTTGCCGACATGTGGCCCCCCGCAAGGCGTCCAGAGTCCTGGTGCGCCCCACTACTCCCAAGTAAGGCCAGTAAGGCTGCTCCCAATCTACCCCCTCTCAGGTCTGGATCTTAGGTTTCAGGTCTTAATCCACAGAATTATGGAAGCCTTCTGGCGCCACGCTGATGCTTTGGTGGTGTAGTGTGAATAGAGACCCGGGACCCTCCTCTCATCCCTGGCACCTAGAACTCCAGTATAGGGGATTATGGGCCTCCTGGCAGGGGCTGAATGGGCTTTGGGCAATATGCCTAGCAACTCTATATTTAATAACTGTGGGGCATCCCTGCATACCTGACTGAGCATCTTTGAGCTCCTCCCCGTCTGATTTTTTTCTGGGCAACTTATCTGTCAGCCCTGCACCCACACACCACTATAGGCCCTTTAATTGGAGACTTCCTAACCCTGACTCCTCCCCACCCCCCACCCCGCCCATGGTGGTAGTGAAGTCCCAAAGTCTCAGGATGCTTTCCTCTTGGGATAATGAGTTGGACCTGTACATCTTATTTATCTCTTAGATCTTAAACAGAGCTTTAGAATCAAAATTATAGATGTGGTGTTACACCTAATTAGAATGTGAGAGTGGGGCTGAGGCAGATAGATTTTACACACTTTTTGAGTGATCCTGGTGGGCAGTCAGGTTGGGATTTTATAGTCATTTGTTCCCTCTCTGCAGGAAAAGCACTCTTGCCCTCCTTTACTTCCATTTGCTCTGATAGTAGGTACAGTGGCCTTGGCTTCCTGGCCTGGTTTTCTACTTCATGTTCTATTTCCTCTGTAGTTCCAGGTACTTAAGCCAAAGCAAAGCGGGATAGCACCTTGGTGTTAATGCTGGATGTTCTCCTGTACCTGGCTCAGTCCAGCCTTGCAGCTCAGGCCTTTCCAAATCCTTCTACTGAATTCTTGAGATTAACCCAGCTTGCCATAGAGGTCCCCATGGTAGCCAACAGGACGGCCATGACATTATAGGGAAGACTGATTATGAGCATTTCCCTATGTGTGTAGTCCCAGATTCCTCACCTCCCACCCTATTTTTCTGAGAAAACCACCAGGTCTGCTGGAAGCTAGCTACCTCTCCTACTTTCTGTAGCAGGGAGCCACTGCGTGATCTTGGGCAAGTACTTAATCTAAGTTACCTTGCCTTGAGTTGACATGTAAAGGTCTTGGAACAGAACCTGGCACCCAGAGTGATGAAGTCATATCATGCCTGCCTTACCAACTGACAGGATTATCTGTATCAAAATGAAACAGTGAAGGAATATGTTTACTTTGGCTGCTGCCACTTACTATGTGATCTTGGGAAAGTTAGTCAACCTCTCTGGGTCTCAAATGCACCATCTAAAATGAAGATAATACCAGTGCTTAGTTCATAGGGCTGTTGTGAGGACTAAATGAATGGTGTCTGTAGAGTGTTAACACCAGGCCTGGCCTACAGTGCTCACTAGGTGTCAGGTATTTATGATCATGGTGACATGCCGGAAGCTTTGCAGAGCAGTACTCTACAATTGGTGAAGCATGTTTGGAAATAACCCAGAATGGTTAAATGACAGCCCAGAGTTACTGGCCTGGTAGGTTTCAGGGTTGGCACCAGATCTTTTTATTCTCAAGTTCATAACTTTTACTGTCATCTATCCTTTTGCTTCCTCCCAGCAATAAAGGCTCAGAAAGCTAGCCTGTCATTTTGTTTCCCTTGCTTCCAGGTATGCCAAGATGTGGGGACATGTGATATTTGCCACTCAGGAGACATCTCCCTATGACATAGCGGTGGTGAGCCTGGAGGAGGACCTAGAGGGTGTTCCCATGCCTATGCCCACTGAGCATTTCCACGAAGGTAAAAGACAGAGGGGCCCTCTGTTCTCAGGTGGACCTTGGGAAGGAAAGTTAGTGTTAGACACTCAAACCCTGCAGATCAGGGGGCCAGTCTCCCAGACCAGCTCCCTTCTCCATCCCTGCCAGACTGATGAGTCTGGGTGGCATCAAGCTGGCAAGAAATTCTGGTTACAATGCTTTGGCCGGGGATGCTCTTAGAGGCTTGCCTGCTTGTGTCCAACATGTGTGTAAGTGCTGGGGTGCAGGTGGAATCTCCAAAGAATAAGCATGCCTATTCCTTAGGTCCTGTGGCAACGTAGAATGGAAATGCTGGGCTTTGGGGGCTCCTTATAACACTACAGGCTGGTCAGAGAGGTGTTGCTCTTTTAAGGCTCCTTTTAAGGCATGATTTGAGTGAAAGGCTTTGTGATGCTCCCTCAGAAGTACCAGAGGTCTCACTTTGTACATGCAGTGTAATATAATTAAAGAGAGTACAAGCTCTCTGAGCTGGCATCTCTTCTGCCATTTACTAGCCCTTTGTCCTTGGACAGACAACTTAATGTTCTCTGCCTCAGTTTTCACATCTGTACAATAGGGCTAGCTCCCTACTCCTGGGTGTTATGAGGCATAGGTGAAGCACTCAGCCCTGTGCTTGGTGCATTCAAAGCACTTGGTTAAAGGAAGGTTTTGTAGTCATCATCCCCATTTTTTTTTTCACAAATGGACTTCTTAGTCCCAGGAAGGATGAATGTTAATTCTACAAACATTTACTGAGCACTTAGCTAGGTGCTAGGAATTCCAAAAAGTGACTACCCAGTCTAGCAGGGACAGAGGGCAGGGGAACAGCTTGATGCTCAGTAGTTGACTGAGCATCGTGCTGGGAGCTCAGTGGAGGTTCCAGCCTCTACCTCGGGACCTGGGGAAGGCTCTCTGAAGGCAGGAGTATCTGAGCAGAAACTTAAAGGGCAGAGTGTTTGCATCTTTGGAGAGGGCAGGGGTAGGGTTGGGGAGGATGAATCCTGCTAGACAGAAGAAGCTTCACAGCTTCACCCTCCTTCCCTTTCTGGCAGGTGAGGCTGTCAGTGTGGTGGGCTTCGGTGTCTTTGGCCAGGCTTGTGGGCCCTCGGTGACCTCAGGCATCCTGTCAGCTGTGGTGCAGGTGGATGACACACCAGTGATGCTGCAAACCACGTGTGCTGTGCATGGCGGCTCCAGTGGGGGACCCCTCTTCTCCTGCTCAGGGGACCTCCTAGGTAAGCAGCTCCTTGGCCCTCTCCTAGGCTTCCCCGTTAAGAAGTCTCAATCCTTTCTAGTGAGTGCTCAGTGTCCAGCCCCAGAAGCCACCCTCTGTCTGAGAAGATGGCGTCCTTAATACCTGGGAACTAGTTAACCAAAATTTTCAGGCTGTTCTGCACCTGAGGATAGATGCTGAGCTGTGAGGGAAAAGGTCTGGGTTCTGGTCCCTTCTCTGCTACTAAGCCACTCTTTGACCTTCGGTAAATCACTTAATCTCATTCAATCTGTGAACCTTAAGAGTTTAATTAGTGCAAAGGTCACAGACTCTGAAACGTACAGAGACTGGGCAGGTAAAGTGAATGAATGAATGAGTGAAGACAACAGGGAGCGGAGGGTGAAGGGTGAACTGAGGTGAACATCATTCAGCATATTTTGCCATATTATGAATAAATGTGAACCTAACACTGACTGATCTCCAGTTTTTCACAAGAAGCTATGAACCTTGTGTGTGTATGTGTGTGTGTGTGTGTGTGGTTGTGTGTGGTTGTAAAATCTTTTGATTTTTAAATTTAGGTAACTAATTTGAGTTTTTAAAAAAAGTCTGTTTATCTATTTAAAAAAAAAAAAGCCAGCATGAGTCTATTAGATACCTCCAACTGCAGTCCAGCACACGGGGTTTATGTGCTCTTCCCCTTCTCTTATTTCTGAGTGCTTTCTCCCATAGTGAGAGAACTTACTTTTATTAGCTACAATAGATTTACGTATTTCTTCACCCATAGTATGACAAATAAAGTCAACCATAACTTTAAATATATATGTATACACACGCGCACACACACACATACACACAGAGATAAGTGGATACAGAAATAAATATGCGTATGTATGCATGCATTTATATGTATGTGTGTGTGTATGTATGTATGTATGTATGTATGTATGTATGTATGTATGTGTGTATATATATATGTCCCAGCTCTGTCTGCTGTGACACCCCTGTTGTGGTGAGCATACCCAGAACCTAGATCTTGGTTTCTGAGGGCCATTCTCTAATGAAAAGAGCTGGGAACTGGTTGATTCTAGGAGTGGGATGGGGAAAATCCAGGATGAGTCTGGAGTACCTTGTGGTGCTGGAAAGGAAGGAAATGCTAACAACAGCAATATGATAGAGCATGTCATATGCTGAAAGAAAAAAGAGCTGACTTGAAGGAGCCCCCATTGGAACAACTTGTACAACAAACCAAATAGCACTAGTATTAGATTGTAACTCAAAGAAAAGAATGAATATTCATGAGTTCATACAGCTATAAATAAATATATGAATAAATTTTAAAGTGGAGACAAGCAACAGCTCTTCCTTACAGACTTCCAATTAATAAATGTAGAAGAAAGTCACTGTTGTTTCACTGCTGTAGGAATTGCTGCAGACAGGATCCACTGATGTATACTAAAATCGGTGGGCAAAAGTTTAAGTAGAAACAGGATATTTGCCTAACCCTAAAATAGTACTTTACAAAGGGGAAAAGAGTACGTCTACAGTGGAGAAACCTGGCAGATACCACCTTAGCCTAGCGATCAAGGTTAACATCACAGTAATGTTTATGGATATATACCTCATAATAGGAAGCACTGAGGAGGACACCTTGATTCTATAGTATTCTCAATAATTCTCAGTCTTGAGAAAACATTTAGGTAGACTCAAATTGAGGGACAGTCTACAAAATAACGGACCCATACTCTTCAAAGTGTCAGAGCCATGAAAAAAAGGAAAGACTAGAAGTGACCCAAATGGGAAGAAACTTAGGAGACATGACAACTAAATGCTGTGTGGGATCCTGGATTGCATCCTGGAGGAGAAAAAGAGCATTAATGGAAACACTGGTAAAATTCACGTGAGATCTGTGCTTTAGTTAATAGCATTGTACCAAGGTTAATTTCTTTGTTTTGATGAATGTTTTGATCAAGTTATTAATTAACAGAAAGGAAAGCCAGGTGAAGGATGTATAGGAACTTCTACTATTTTGGCAAGGCTTCTGTAAGTCTAAAATTGTCTTTAAAAAGTACATGCATGTATGTACCTACACACACATAAACACTAAGCAGGCCAAATAAACTGTGTCTGGGTCCTATTCATTTAGTCATCCACTCAACAAGTGTGCCTCCTCTGTGCTGGGGAGGCTCATCCAGGGAGACTGCATGAGCAAAACACAAAAATCCTGCCCTCGTGGACCTGACGCTAATTGGAGAGAAAGATAACAAAATAAGTGAAAAAAAATAATATGTTAGATACTGATAACGTTAAGAACAAAGTAAAGCCCAGAATGGGGACCAAGGTGTGGGGAGCTGGTGTTCATGAAGGGAAGCCCAGTATCTGTCACTATGAGAGTACTTTGAGCCCCAACAGGCCTAGGGCCGCCAGGATGGAGATGGGCCTCCCTTCCTATCCATCTGTTTTTCTCCTGACTCACACCTTTTTTTCCTCTCTCCTCAACAGGCATCGTAGCCAGCAATACCCGGGACAATAACACAGGGGCCACCTACCCGCACCTGAACTTCAGCATTCCCATCACGGTGCTCCAGCCAGCCCTGCAGCAGTATAGTCAGGCTGGTGACCTGAGTGGCCTCCAAGAGCTGGACCATGCCACTGAGCCAGTGAAGGTGGTGTGGCGGCTGCAGCGGCCCCTGGCAGAGACCCCACGGAGCAAGCTCTAAGGCTGTGTCACCCTCTGGAGAGAAGAGCAACCAGTGTATGTCACGGGAAGTGCTGAGTTGATGGCAGCCTCAGGATCCTGACATAGTACAGCCCAACTGAAAGGCCTCCCCCCTCACCACCCATGTTGTTCAGCTCTGGAGTCTGGTTCAAACTTCTGGAGTCTGGAGCCCCATGGGTCTCCAACCCAGCAGCCCATTTGGGGATGTTTTCTTCAGTCCCCATCTCTCTCTGGCCCCCTGGCATTAGATTCAGCTCTGTCATTCCCCTTCTGGGGAACCCAGCACAACTGCACGACAGCCCTGGTCCTGACAAACAGACGCTGGCTGGAAGGCAGCCATTGTGTCTGCTCCCTATCTCTTGATGGCCACTGGCTCCCAGAGCAGCTGCTCCACTGGGGCTAGGCTCCTCTTTGCTCTTTATCAGAATTGGGTTGACAGAGTACTGGGACTTCCTCAGAAAACTTTGGCAGAGAGGCTCTGCTCTGATGACCAGAGACAAAGGAAGGAGCATTTCCCTCTTCTGCCTGACCTATGGGGAGGCAGAGTCCCCGAAAGTCAGGACTCCAGTATCTTCATATGTCACGTGTCACTGACATGCAGAGGCACTGTGATGCAATGCCTTAATTTTCCGGCCCATACAAAGGGTCTCAGGGATCTTGGGGATAGAATGCGTCTGTTTGAGGTTTAAGAATAAACAGGACCTACCTAGAAGGACCTCTATACTTTTGAGAGTCAAATCGGGAATAGTACAAGCACCAGGCACAGAAACATACCTTTTCTGTCCCATTTTCTCAGTGGGGTTTGAGCTCATGGGATACTCTCGTGCCAGACTAGTCCTGGTAGCTGGTCATGGTGCCAGTCAGCACTGGATGGTGCTTGTAGATCCTGAAAGGTGGTGGCCTTGGCCTGGCAGCAAGTGTTTACAGAGTGCTCAGGATGTGCCCAGGCCTGTGCTAGGCCCTGGGGTGTGTGGGAGTTGAGGAGTTCAAAGGTTAATGAGACCAAGTCAGCCCCTATGAGAAGACAACCCTGCAAGTCACGAACATGCACTGTGTGCCCAGGGCCCTGTGCATGTGGGCCCTCAAGAAATGATGGTTAAATCGTTGACAGGTTGAATGCCATTTGGGGCCTGGGCACTAATGCCAGGGGCACTAATTCTAATTATGGAGGATTCCTGGGAGTACTTTGTATCTAACATCTATTTGTTGAGTGCCAACTCTGGGCAACCAGAGAACAGTCCTGGGATGGTGGTTCTCCCCTTTATGGATTAGCAGTGGGTCCAGAAGACAAAGTAAGCCCGAGAGAAGTGCCACAGTAAATTAATGGTAGCAGGGGCAAAGGCTCAGGTCTGACTTTGCTGGGAGGGGCCAGGGGGCTAGGGGAGGGCTTACGTCAGCATGTGTGGATACCAAGGAGCTCAGGCTATTAGGGAGAAACTGGTGTGTCAGCCCATTAGTGCAAAGAGCAAGGCAGCTCTGTCCCATTCAGATGAAAGACTGTTCAGAGGCCCAGAGAGGGAGGATTAGGCAATGCTTCATCAAGATGACTAGAGCTGAACTCTGAAAGGAGAGTAGATGTTTATCAAATGGACTGGAAACAGGGACAACCTGTTTTCCAGATTGAGAGCAGTGGAAAGCTGGTACAAGGAAGTGGGAAAATATGTTTATGTTCTGGCAGTGCTAAATGGAGAGAAAATTGGAAAGGAGCAAGACTGGAGGCTGGAGAACCAGTCACAATGGCCCAGGTGAGAGAGAAGACACCTAAGGCAGGACTGGCTGAGCTGATGGCTGAGAGTCAGCAATGCTTCCTCCTCTTGGATTCCGTAGTATTAGACAATTTTGCCTGCTATTCCTACTAATCATTAAAGTGCCGTAGAACTGCCAGTGTTTCAGCATCCAAACTGTACCTTCTACTACCTCTGGCCCCCTGGAAATTCAAAGACAAAAGTCCTTTGTTAGGCAAGGAGCCCTAAAGTTCTGTTGCAAAGCTATGGGCACTGGAGTGGGAAGAGAGGAGCGACATGGAGTGAACTGCCTGAGAAGGGGCATGAAAGAGGTTGCACTGAGACTCCCTTCTTTTGGATCAAGGTGTCCTCTGGTTGCCAAGGACGTGTTGAATATCAGACATCTTCCCTGATTTTCATGGTTTGGGGTAGGTCCTTGAAGATGGACCAGTCTGACCCACTCCAGCTATGACATGCGGTGCCCAAGCCTTGTGTGGGACCACCACACAACTCTCCTTCCTGGCTTGAGGTTTTAGGGTCCTTCCCCTTGCACTCTGCTCATTGGAACCCTCTTCATCTATCTAGGCGCAGCACTTCCAAGAAAACTTCCTTGACCTTCCCAAGCCCCAGGGCAGGCTGTAGTGCTCTCTATTTACCTCCCACAGGGCCAGGACATGTGCCCAGCAAATTTCCGCTGCTAGCTTGACTCACAGTTGAGGTTCTTTGCCTGCTCCGTAACTTCTACCTCCCTTAGGAAACCCCTGCTGAGGGGTTTCCTGGCTTTAGGGTCAAGGCCCAGTGCTGCTTTACTAACTGTGTGATTTTGCCTAAGTTCTTAGCCTGTGAGCCTCAGTTTTCCTCATCTGTGAAATGGAGATTAATAAAACCTACATTGGAGGACCCATGTGAAAAGTAAATTGGAGAAGCTATCCCAAATAGTTTGCGTTCAATAAATATTAGCTATTATTTTTCTAAGAATACTGGTAGTATTGTTTCATTAGAAATGCATCACTCTGGTTGCCAGGGGTGGGTGGAGGGAGAGAGAGGGATTTGATCTCATGGGATACTCTCGTGCCAGACTGGTCCTGGTAGCTGGTCATGGTGCCAGTCAGCACTGAATGGTGCTTGTAGATCCTGAAAGGTGGTGGCCTTGGCCTGGCAGCAAGTGTTTACAGAGTGCTCAGGATGTGCCCAGGCCTGTGTTAATTTTAAAACATCATTCATTTAAACAAATATAGTGAACTCCTGGGGAACCAGGTGCTCCGTCAGTGCCAAATACTGAGGACTCAAGCAAAGTCCAACAGAATGAGGTCTCTGCCCCAAAGAGCTGATCAAAGGTGGTTGTTGCTGTTCTTGGTGTTCGAGTTTAATCCCCATCCTTCTTCCTCATAGGAGTTTCTTGAGTTAAAAAAGGAGATAAAAGCTATTTGGAAGTTTGCAAAGTCCAGGACAAATGCAAGGCTTGCGGTGCCTAGAACATCAAACCCAACTTAGGGCTCTATGGTGGTTCCTTGTGAGACAGGATTAGGATAGGCAGGGCCCGTGGGCTCTCTGCACCCACAGTATGGCATCATTGCTCTTCTGGGTCCCTAGGGGCTGACAGAAGGATGTAGAGACTCCTGCATCTCTGACTATTCCTTCCTTCAGCCCACATTTATCAGGCAGGGTACTAGCCAAAATAGGAGGAGAGGCAAGGATTCCAGAGAACTGGAAGATGCAGGCTGGGCTTTGTTGACTAAGAACGAGAGTGGGGTGCTTATGGGAGCACACCAGCTTTCTCCCAGGTCAAGATCATTCCGGGCACCAACATCTTCCCGATAGAATTGCCAGTGGTACTGGATACCAGGTCTTTGATTATAGCTTTTGGAAGAGATACAGAAATGGCCACTTCTAGTATAAAGGTTCACGAAAACCAGGAAAGGTAAGGGCAGTATTCAAAAGAGTGTTGAGCTGGGAGCCAGGAAGCTGCCAATGCACTATTTAGCCTCAGGCAAGCTGGTCAGCCCATATAAAATATCTATAATAAATGCTGCTATGTATTTGTTGCTTCTATGTGCAAGGGATTGCACTACAACACTTCACATAAATGATTTCATTGAATCTTTTCCACAACTCTTAGAGTAGGTGCTAGTATTTGCAGTAAATAGATGAAGATGGCTTATCTGTAACCAAATTAGCTTGATCCTACCATGAGGTTGTAGCTTGCATCAGTCCATTTCTCTACAGATCCTAGTCCAAGCTCCTTTTTATTTTATTATTTTATTTTATATATTTTCTTTTTATTTCATTTTTATCATTTTATTTTATTTTTATTATTTTATTTATTTTATTTTATTATTTATTTTATTTATTTATTTTGTCCCAGACTGCCCTCCTAACTAGTTTGCCCAATTTCAGGCAGCCCTTCCGCTCCCTCATCCTTTCACCACAGAACATAACTCAGACCTGTCACTCTTCTGCAGTGGCATTCTGCTGCCCTTGGGATGACAGGGACAGTCTTCATTAGGGCCTGGAGGCCTGTACCTACCTGCTCATGCTGGTCACTCTGTCTTTCGCCTCTGCCATGTCTCTACTATCACCTCATTAGACAGAAAGCAGAAACCATGCCTGTTTTGTTCTCTGTTTTATCTCCTAGCGCCTATCACGGGGCCAGGCATACGGTGGTGCTCAACTGGGTTTGCAGGATTATTTATATGCGTGCAGGCAGGAGGTTGGTAATCCGCCGGCCCGAGGTGGCACAGGCAGTGCCTGGGAACTCTTGCTCTGAAGTTCCGGCGGCGTTAAAGGTGTCTGGCAGAAAGTCGGGCCGGATTTTGAACTCTCCTGTCCGAGGGTCCTGCGCAGCGCAGCGGGCGTCGACCTTAGGGGTCATCTGTTTCAAGGTTAGGGCCGTTCCCACCCACTCGCGGACCGACAGGGAGCGCGCCGGCCGCCGCAGTCTCCGGAAGGAGAGGGTGGGGGGATGGG